CAAAATGTTAGAAATTATAATAAAACTATCATTACTGTCCAAGTTAGAAAGAACCTCGATCTGACTGCCGTTAGTGTAGGAAGTCACCACACTATTTTATTAATTATTCTAAATTTAACCACTGTGTAGCTTTACAATAATTTAGTGATTTATACACGTTAAACAAATAATTGGTTTTAAAGTTACTATATTGGTGGTTAGCTACAAGCGGTTATAACACAAAATTATAATAGCAACACAACTTACCAGTTTTTTCTTAAAACTCTTTTCTTACGGTTTTTTGGTGTAGAAAGATACCCTTGTCTTATTGGTCTCCAACTTTAAGGTAAAAGCGCAATAAACCGCGAGACAAATTCATAAATATTCCATTTTACGATTAACATAGCATCACCCACCACAAAGCAGAGATGCTGCATACAGCTATCATTCGAGACCTAGTCTGCAATTGCCCCAAGACATAACTGTATTCCAGGATCCTCTTCTGCCCTGCCTTCGCTGGTATCAGAAATTCCAATCCTAGTAGTTTCTGTCCCTGAGAAGTTTTCCCTTTCAGAGCAGGATTTTACAAGAGCTTCAGCACCTTCAATTTGCTTTCCTGAGAAAAAAAAACATTGGTTCTTCATCCTGCCTTGCCTTTTCAACGCTAATGGGTTCACCTTAGGACCCAAGGTGAACTTATGTACAATTGTGAGTCACACCCACAATGAGGTTTCACAGGGTCATTCAAAAGAAAACACATTTCCATGCACTTCTTCTGCTAGTTATAGACAAAAGTATAACACTTAGTTCACTAAGCCAGCAGTCCCAGTCTGTTTGTAATTAAGCACAAAGCTACACAATGGGATATCTGTGCTCTGCCCACCACGGGTATCAAAACCCGGATTCAGGCGTTGTAAGTCCGGAGACATGCCGCTGTGTCACTGGGAGAGGGGCAGTCCGTTCCCAACCCCTATTGTTGAACAAATTTATAATTCTCAAAACACTTACAGCAGTAAAACGTAGTATTGTTAAAATGGGCAGGAAACAAAAGTTTTTAAAGACTTCAAGTGCCTTACTCTTTCTTTATTATCATTAGATGTTAGGACTAGTTCTGCAGGAAGTTTCATCATCCACTCATTTACGTTTAATTATATTAGTTACTTTCGTTTTAGATTCACAATAATTTGATTTAAATTTTTAACCTTACTATGTTGATGATTAGTTGTTCTATTCTCTCCAAGATCACAATGTATTGTATATACGTATTATTCAAAATAACACAGATATAGATATATTGTGGATAAAAAAATATTTAAACTTAATTTTGGTTTTCTTTGTCTTTAATATTGAGATTTTTTTTTTAATTTAGCAATGATATATATTTAATGTCACAGTTGAGACAAGTTTGTAGATTGTTCCTGCCTTCAGGACAATCCCGGTGAGGATTTTCCAGGTAACACGATCTGACTTCTTACTTGGTCAGTTAGATTGTTCCTAACTTCAGGACAATCCTGGTGAGGATTTTCAGGTAACACGGTCTGACTTCTTACTTGGTCAGTTAGATTGTTCCTAACTTCAGTACAACCCTGGTGAGGATTTTCAGGTAACACGGTCTGACTTCTTACTTGGTCAGTTAGATTGTTCCTAACTTCAGGACAATCCTGGTGAGGATTTTCCAGGTAACACGATCTGACTTCTTACTTGGTCAGTTAGATTGTTCCTAACTTCAGGACAATCCTGGTGGGGATTTTCCAGGTAACACGATCTGACTTCTTACTTGGTCAGTAAAGGTGCTACTATATTATAAAACAAAAGCTAGAATTGTTTAAGTAATTAAACTGTTTCCGTTTGTAATTGTGTAAGTAATGTTTATGGCTGTTGGCAGAACATGAGAGCCCAGATGACTGTTGACAGTTGTAAAATAAAGACGTATTGGTAGTGTTCTATCTAGCCTACCTTAACATTAAATAGTCATAAATAGATCTTTGAAATATATTATGTTCAACGATCTAAAAGCTTTAGATTTAATGTTTCCAGTTCAAGCATGAGTTTATCTTACAAGGTGAACTATTTTGTGCTTCGTAAATGTGTTGCTCTTTTTTAATTTCCTAGCACAGGGTAGTTTGTAAATGTTTTATTCAATATCGTGGTTAGAAAATCGAAAACAAGTATGAATTAAATCGAGATGAAAGGAATTACAATATAAACTAATAGACATGAAAATAATCTAGAAATTAAAGAACAGACAAGAAGTTTTAATTTTCTATGGTATTCAAGAAGAATAAATGTATGGTACTTAACCAACATAGTTGGATATTGACTATGACGTATGTGTTCGAAATATTCGCTACTGCACGAGAAAAATCAAGGTTCGAACCTATGATTTAAATATTTGTGAAGAAAACTTTGAAGAAATTATGAAATTTAAAACTGTTATCCGTTTTCTCCTGCTTGACATCAACGTCCATAATAACCTATGCTTGAGTATATTTTATTTGTGAAATGTGTAATATCTAAAAAGACGCAATTATACCGAATACTCTATAATAATAATAATAAAAAACTGCTTAGAATTCTAAGAACCCAAGGGCGGAAGTGAAGAATGGTAGAGGATATACAGTGCCATCTATGTGAATACAATAATACTAATTTAATTGTAACATGGCCATATACTTTTAATGTTATATATATAATAACTATAAAACAAATTTTGACACACTTTTGTACACATAATTATAAGTTAATTCACAATAATATATGATTTCATTAATTTACCCTATAAAGACTTCCAGACACTTTTTTAATTTGTACTCAAACATGATGATTACTCTAAAAGTGTCATCAAAAATTTAAACTTAAAGGAATGCAAAAATCTTTCAATTCTCTTAATTCACCGTTATCTTAATACTCGTTTAAATGGATTCCTTGTAAGCATTAATAACTATCAATTGAATAATCTCCATAAAATTTCTTTTTCTAGGAAGCAAGCATTAGTTTATTAGTTGCTTTGTTATTAAAGTAAATAACAATGAGCCATCAAGATATAAAATCATGCTGCATGGGCAAAGAAAATGTTACATACTGTTAAAACAGTGTTGTTAAAATACAAATAGTTAAGCTAGCTGTACAGTCTTGAACACTTCAATAATAATAATAATAAAAACATTAAAGCCAACCCCTATCATTCAAACATTTATCACACCTTAACTTGAGTGTACTGCATTAACCCAATTTTAAAGTAACCCATTATAAACGCTAACCCCCTAGCTGAAGATGACCCTTACCCTGCCAAAACTTATATTTGTGTTCCCCTACTCCTACCATTCTTATAATTAAATACAAAATGTTTATGCATCAACACTATCAATTCCCATAACAATCCTAAATCTCTACTGTACACTATAACATACAGGTAAAAAAATCTATCTTTGTTGCTTAATACATATAAATGTTTCAGTTCTGTGGTTGAATACTCTAAATAAACCATGGAATGATTTTCTTTGGTTCATTGAATGAACACTGTTACTTCTATACAATATATCTATTTATAACTTATCATTTATAACTTGCTCCACGTATCACACTAGTAGCCCTCCTCTTCACCCTTGCTCCATGTATCACACTAGTAGCCCTCCTCTTCACCCTTTCC